GGGGGGGGAGTAGTCCATAAACTCTTAGGATGAGGAGCTGCCCCCACCTACCACCCCCGTGGGTCCCCAGGTCTGATCAGCTCCTGAAACTCTTAGGGACTGAGCCCAGCGGACTCCTGATTGGAGCTTTGTGGAAATGGGATCGGGAAGTCAATGCCTTACCTGCCCTGGTCTCAAGACTCAGTGGCCAGAGCCGCGCATAAATGGACCATAACTCACTCCTGTTGTTCATCTGTAATCATCTATTCTCCTTACCCATTACTTCATTCCCCCATTCCCTCCTCCGGTTGTCTATGATATCTGGGTCGTTAGCCTCATTGTGTAGGTTTCCCCTCACAGTACCCACCCATGGTAAAGTCGAATGCCCTGTAAGGTTTTCTACGCAGGAATCGTGTGAGAGCGCACTGCCAAGTCTCTTCCACAGAACCACCGGTAGATTCAAAGCACCGCCATCCCCGTGAGCAGCCGCGCACCTAGCCCACTGGGGTTAAGTGCCCCAGTAACGACAGGAGGAAGTGCTGCCCGGTTCCCCAGTACCCTCACAGCGGTTGTGTTTGAGCCCACTGTGTCAGTCCATCTTGCCAAGGCTCTTCCTCTTTTGGCTGCCCCTCTACCAAGCGCGATGTTCTTTTCCAGAGACTTGTCAGGCTGTTGTGCTGTGTTGCCGTGAGTTGCTCTCATGCTGGTAGCATCACATCTGTCACTGGTGTCCCCAACCGCTGGCAGGGCCACCCAAAGGGAGCAGGTTCCAGCAGAGCTTCCAGACTAAGGACAGAACGATGACGAAGGGATGGACAGACCACTTTGGAGGAATTAGCAACTGGAAACTGTGAATAACATAGCTCTCTCTCTCTCTCTCTCTCTCTTTTCCCCCTCTCGTCACCATCTCCATTTCCTACGTCTTTCTTTCCTTCCGTCACTGAAGGAAAGCCCGCTGCCAAGGCTGAGGGCTTGGGCGGTGAGGAAGGTTCCAGAGAGGAGGTGGCGGGGCAAACAAGCACAGCACAAGGCAGTAACAGCAATAACAGAGGAATGTGACTTAGCAACAAGCGAGAGCTTGGAAGAGATCCCAGGGAGGGCTTCAAAAGCAAGCGGGAGACGCTCCGGACAGAAGAAGCAGCGCTGCCCAAGGTGTGAACAGCTGGCCGGCCTAGAGAGAGGTGAGAACCAGAATGACCAGAGGCCTGGCTGTGTGGAGGGCATGGAGAGGGTAAAAGAGAGGGTAAAGAAGTAAGTCGGGATGCAGCTGTGACGGGCTTGGAATGGCAGGTTAAGAAATGTGGGCTTTAACAAGGAGTAGAGAACCGTGAAGAGGTCTGAGGGGCTGGCCCCAATCCCAACTACTACGTGGACACCTGCCCCTCCCCCCCTGAAGAATTCACTTCAGAGGACAACACTGAATCTGCAGCTCCTAGAGAGGGACATGTCTGATCAGAGCACACGGGAGTAAATGAGGGGAGAGGAAGAGAGAGTGGAATACATCCTGGCGCACCAAGCCTTGAGGATGATATTCCTGCCCCGAGCAGCCAATCCACAGAGAACACCACATGGCTGGCCCCCCTTGAGACATGACATCCCTCACTGACCCATAGCCCTACAGGGGACAACACAGGAGACACAGTGTGGGAATTCCTCCTGATCTGATCCCACCACACCAAGGCAAAACACGAAGGGCGTAGAACAGAACAGCAAGGGGAACAGAGCAGCGAAGTCCTCAGGGATTACCAAAAATAGACTTTGGGGCCAGGACTTGGCACCCCAACAGACTCAACTGGAAAACACTCCTAAAGCCCAACAAACAGTCCTTGAACTAACTACAAGCT